TGCCATGGATTGTCTGTGTTGCAAATTATTAATTAGATCAATCTAAACAGAAGCGTCTCGAGTCATTTTAAAAGAAGAGTAAAATTGGAGTTTATTATTAGTACAATTTCAATAACAGAGTTCACGAAGGATTGTTTTTTTCTAAGCCGCATGCCCTTTTCACAACTTTTCAGTCTAAAAAACACCACTCCCCGCTCCCCCCCTCCCCACAAAAAACAACCACAACAAAACAAAACAAAAAATACGGCAAGTGACTGACCAAAAGCGCGTATTCAAAGGCCAAGCAAGTTTTTTTGGGTTTTGTTTTTCAAGCGGTTGGCTTCAAATTTGTTTACACCTTTATTGAAAACTCAATAAAACCCTGTACCTGACAGAACATGTACAACAAACATTAACGACCGAAATTGGTTATCCAAAGCAGCAGGTGCCATCTTGAAAGTACCAACGCGTTTTTCCACCCATGTTTTCAAACTCCCACTGAACCTCACCTCTCCACCTCACCTCACGCTCCAGACGCGAACTTTAGTTTCCTCTCTACATTTCCCACAGTTTCTTAGGCACCTTTCTACTGCCAGGTAAGAGCCTGTCAACAGTTGCCAAAACAGGGTCATCTTTCAAGGTCGCATACGTCACCACAAACATACCTCCACTGACAAGCTCCATGGCAGGCACACTTACCTTAACTACCAAGACATTGTAAACAGGGTCATCTTTCAAGGTCGGATACGTCACCACAAACATACCTCCACTGACAAGCTCCATGGCAGGCACACTTACCTTAACTACCAAGACATTGTGATCGTGTTGTATAAATCGGAATTGTTTTCTGGCGCTGAAAGCAAGACACACTCTTCCAGACAAGCCTGTCAAGCCGGTGAGTCGGTATGTTTTCTATTCAGTGCTATATTTGTGTAACGGAGGCATTTTCATGTACATATCAGCACGGGAGGCAGCGTGGCTGAGTGGTCAGTGGTCCGCTCTGGCCACTTGCTGGATTTGTGCTCGGTCGTCCCGAGTTCAAATTCTCGGCCACGCTTGTAAATAGCCAACTGGTTGCCTTCTGCCAGTTGGGGTTTTTAATCCTGTTATGTTGTATTTGAATTATTTGTTTTTAAATATTTGAGTGGAGTGCCTGTAAATTAGCTGACTAGGTAAGTGCACCTTCCACTATAAACATGCCTTTTTTTTTTTTTTTTTTTTGAACAATTTTCATGTGAGGTTGCTAGATACTTTTTATCCGGAGTTTTTCACTGATCACAGTGAAAGAGGAAACACGTCCTCAGCAGCTTTCTTTGAACTATTTTCCAGTGAAATTATATTTGTATGTTTAATTTCTTGTCAAGGAATAATATTATTTTATTCGGCTCGGTGGAATAGCGCAAAGGATAAGGGTTACGGGCCCTAATGGAGTTCTTTCATTATTATTCAGTCTACATTTGGTGATTGTTATGGTTATTGCTATATTGTTGTTATTATTCTAGAGTGCTCTCAAACGCTCTGTGTTGAGCCACAGACCTATCCGGTAAATAAGTATATAATCAAATTAAGGCTCGCCAGGTTTAAGCATTTTCAAGACAACAGAGCAAAGACAATGCTCTCAGATAAACCAATTTCATTGAACTCTCCCAAAGACTAATCTCCATCACAGGTGTCAAAGTCAATATTGTTGGTATCATTGCAAGAGAAATGATTGTGTAATTGCAAAAGCATAGCAAGAAAACCTACTCAACATGAATCCCTTTTCAAGCTGTTTGAACAGTATCGCATTGAGATTTGTGACAAAGCATATGAAATGGGTCAACTTACCAACTGGCTCTTACTGTAAATCAAGTTTGTCACCAAAACAGTGCTCTTTTTTAAACATGCAAAGCCTTAATCTGTCTCTGTGGACCTTGGTGATTTGCTTGATGACTGTAGAGAATGACATTACCTTTTTTTTCACTCATATCATGCAAACAGATTGTAAATACAACTGCAACATACTTTATTGCCTGAATCAATTCCATGACATTCAAGTCAGTGATACTGTACAATATTATGTCACGTGCATGGTTGAAACAGACTTCCTGATAATGCCTTTGTTATTTTCATTTCCTTTGAAACTAATAACATGTCCATCGGACCAATACATGACTGCATTTTCAATAATCCATTTGTGGCTTAACCAGATTACAAAAAAATCTTTGTCCAGAAATCAGAGTAATTTGGACAGAGAACTTGTGGTGTCCTCCATCTTAAGTGCACTGCCAGTGTTAAATTGCCGCTGAGTGTCACCTTGGATTTATTCATTTGAGTTCATGGCCATAAGTTAGCGTGCTAGAGAATGAGACCAAAATACAGTCCTAGGCAAGGGTAAAAGTGAGCTACACCATGCACAACCTCATTTTCTGATTATTTCCCAAAGAAGGGAATCTTTTTTCAATGTTCAGTATGCCCATGGGACTGTACTCATCTACTGTGGTCATACATAACCAAGACAGACTTAACACCATCCAAAACATGTCATAATGGCAATTTGCCTTACTTTTGTCTAGCTAGCAAAATTTCACTTCATGGTCAATGAACTCAGAAAGGACAATTGTAAAATAACACACTTCTATGAAATTCTAGCTGATTTGGGCTTCCTAGTGTCCCAAGCCAAAAGCTAAGTTCTAAATGTTTAAAAGCATGGGTCACTACACAGTATTGTTTCTGTTGCAGAGACTGCATTTATAGCTGTTTCTCATGGCTTACAGTATCCAACAATCTAGACTACCTTATTGCAGAAAATTCATGCCAGGTGTAAAAAACATTTTGTGTTTACCCCTCCACAGCTAAAAGCTAAGGATGTTGAACAGCAAGGTGATAGAGAGTGTGTTGATCAAATTATTATTGAGTCTGTGGACAAAACCCCATGGTGTTGCACTGTGCACTGTGACCAACTGGACACACAGAAGTTTGGGCAACAGCTGGGCTAACTGGCCGATATGCTTCATGCACTGCAATCTGTTCCTCTTGCAGTCAAAGATTTTACACAGAAGATCTTTCACCTCGGCCTTCCTTTGCACTCTCTCAGCTGGAGACAGCTGACAAGGCACTGCAAGGGTGTAAATTTGGTGCAATGCTGTGCTGCTTGCCAATAGCTGGGTCATGCGTGAATTTTTACTACTGTGTGCTCTGGCCATTAGGGCACATAGCCGAAGGTGTCGTGAAAATACATCACAGACAGAACAAGTGGTAGTTTCTGCACATGGGGTCCCTTCTCTCTGTGTGATCTGGAAAAATTGTGCTCCCTTGAGGCTGCATGTCTGCTCAGAACAGTTGCAACTTTCACTGCAGATGCCAAAAAGAGTGGCCATCATTTGACTCGCCTGTGTCTTTTTTATCAGAGACAGCTGTGCACTGGTTGCATCATGCACTTGTTCTGGATCGCCTGGCCAGACATTGGGGGAAGTGTCAGTCAAAGCAGCAAGGACTTGCTACCACTGTAGGAAAAAGAATTCATTATAGTTAATATGTCATTTATGTACTTATTTCTGCAGTCACGAGTTGCTAGAATTAGTCACATATGCCCAGTTCAACTGTAGGCAGTGGTGTATTTCATCATAGTATTTGTGAAAGGTTTTTTGGCAAAGTTTGCCAAGGATAAGCAACATTTTTTAATAATAATACTGGGTAGGTAATAATCCAGGGCTTTGTTTGAAATTTTGATTCCTTTCGAGTAAGTGGCTTTAAAGGTAAATGACTATTAATAACATTGTTTACTTTTGTATAAAACGTATCAAACATTTCAGTAGTATCTGAGAGTCCATGAAATAAATCAGACCAGTCAATGGAACTAAATTCATTTACGAAAGCTTCTTCATTATAATTAGAATAATCTCGTTTATATTTTTTCTCTTTATCTCTTGAAAAAGAAAAACCTCTCAATGATGAGAAAATTAGGCAAATGGTCTGTGAGATAATGTTATAAATTCCCACTGATTGTTTGATATTCAATAGAATTAAAGAATATGTTATCAATTAGTGTAGAAGAATGACTTGTAATTCTAGTTGGTTTCAGTATGTGAGTTTCTGAAAAGAATGAACCTAGAGTATTAATAAAATCCTCTGTCACCAGATATTAGGCAGAGTTTCCCTTCTTGACTGATTTTGCCAATAACTGAGTAAAAGTTATTCAAAAATGTTTCAAGATTCGAAGATGGATGTCGGTATACTACTCCACATATCATATTGCTGTCTAAATCACTCTCAATTTCAACCCATAACATTTCACTTTCACCAGTGCTAGAGGTAAGGTCATGTCTAACACTAAATTGAATACCATTCCTAATATACAAACCAACTCCACCTGCCCTTTGTGTAGTGTGTTGAGAGAGAAATGAGTAACCCGGCAGATCAAGATTAGAAATTTGTTCATTTGATCTAGGCCATGTCTCGGACAGACTTCTAATATTAAAAGGATAATTCAAATCATTTAGTAAATGCACTAGGTTATCAAAGTTTGCTTGGATACTTCTTATATTACAATTAAGTAGTGAAAGTGCCTTATTTGAGCAAGTATTAATTTCAGGTGAGCTGTGAAATTTATGTAAATCAAAGTAATTAAAATTAACTTTGGAAGGTGTGTTACATGCAGGGTCAAAATTAGAAAAATGTGGAATATTACCAATATTAAATATTGTCTGTAACATTGGTAAGTCTTCAAGAATAGCATTTACAGTATTCTTAGAACATAAGCAGCTTAAATTGGAATTGAAAGACAGCTTGACAAGTTCGTTATCTTCAAGTGAGTGAAATGGAAAAATTGACTTGCTGCATGTCTGGCAGGTCCACCCAAGGCTACTGGACTTAAAGTACTTGTAATCAGCTAGAGTAAGGGAGGTGCAATTAAAGTGATAACAAAGGTTACACAGACTACACTCCAATTTCCTCCCATTGCTCCTAATTAACTTATTACAGATAGCACATGGGTATCTACCAGTATTAAATCTTAAGTCATTTTGATAATTATCTTGCACTTAAATTGGTTGGTAAAATACTTCAGTAGTTGTTGTACTGGTTGATTCAGATGCTGATTGTCTTGGTTGCAGCTTTTCCAAATCCCTAACTGATGTGATACGTGACGCCGGGGTGTGCTCGTTATGTCTCAAATAAATCACTCCATAATATGTCCAAATAAACTTATATTTCTGATCCTTGCGAAATTTGAGGCAACTCTTAAACAAATTTCTTTTCTCTTCCGTTAGACTTTTTTGAATATACATTTTGCTCTCACCGTTGCACCCCAGGCCAATGTCGCTTGTATTATAGCTTTTCCACTTAGATCGAGCTTTGTAAAAAAGGTCCCGATTCTTTTGATTGGTAAATTTGACCACTATGGCTGGATGTCGAAATGATGTGGACCCTGATGCTCCGTGGTTAGAAGAAGGAATCCTATGACTGATCGAAATATCTGTATCATTAATATCGACATCAATCAGCGCTCCAATTTTCTTGACGATTACGTTTGTATCCTCTCCAGTTGTCACAGGGACTCCTCTAATTTCGAGACAATCGCGTCGCGTGTATTGAGCTTGTTCGTCTAAGGCAGAACGTAAATCACTGATCTCTTTCTTCATTTTAGCAGAATCACTTCTCAGGCGCCCGTTTTCTTGAGCTAAAGTCTTCGCTTGTTCTTCCAAGCCTTCCATCTTTCCTTTCATCGTTTCAAATTTTGTATTATAGAAGTTCATCGATTCCTCATAAGTCTTCAGCTTTGCGTCCAAGATGGATGACAAGATGGCCGTCAGTTTGGATTCTAAGATTTCATCCAAAATGGATCTCAACATCGCCTCCATTTTAGTTTTTTCTTGCTCCATCTTAGCAGTTTAGCATTTTGTAATTACCTAATTTGGATGAATTTCGTGACACAGCTCCTTTAAATGACAGTGCATTTACAGCAGTTGAAAGGGAAACAAAGTTCTAAGCAAGGTATGCAAAAGGGGTACCATTTTTCTAGCCTGCAGTGCGGACTTTTACCTCAGGAGCGTGAATGTTCTTGCTCGCGAAAGCACCATGTTGAAACTCTCGAACAGAGGAGGAAACCTAAGGGTTACTATTCCCACTATCCCCAATCTTTGTCTGTCATAAAATCATAAAATCAAAGATGGCTACAACGATAGCGAACATGAACAAGCTTTCGCCCACCCTAAAAAAGCCTACACTGCAGGCTACCATTTGTCAATAGAAGGTATACAGAAGGGGTACCTTTTTTGTGAAAAAAAATGGTATATTTTAGCCTGTGTAGCAAGCATTTCTATTTGGTTTCGGAGCAAAGAAAGACCGGTTTGGCCGCGTGAGAAATGAAATGAGAGCCAAAAATTGAAAGAGGGGGGAGGGGAAGGAAGGAAACGCTTGCAGACAAACCCCCTTGATTTTGAAAACCTGTGTTCGCCAGGGAACGCAACGACTGATTGGCTCGGCTAGTCGAACAATATTGTCATGTGTCGATCAAAGGTTTGTTTCATACTGAGAGGTCATTTATGGTACATGACATGCACGCTGTGATTGTTGTTTAATCTGGTCGGCAAGATTTACTCTCCTTCTTTTGAAATGCAAAGCTCTTCTTGCGACTAAATAAAGGTATCAGGTCGTTTAATTTATTCTCTTAAGTGCCTCCTGGATCTGAATAGCAAAAATCGATTTTCTTTTGTCAGCAAATGCAATAGTTTCTGCATTGTTTTGTCATGCTGGGCCCAGGTCGTTACTGTTTTTTTTTTCTCTGAGATAGTGATTTACAGATCCAAATTTCGAAGAATGGATTGCAACTATGGAGAATTGCATTAGGGGTGGCGAATGGTACCTTGAAAAATGTGAGTCTCGCAAAATTTTGGCAGGATCTCGAAATCTCGGAAACGTTTTTGATAAGTCTCGAAGTCTCATTTTTTCATGGTTTGTTTCTACTTTTCTCGAAACTTTTCACCAAAGAGTCTCAGGCTTGGATTTCTAACTAGGATCTTGGCGTCTCGGCAAGTCTCGGATTTTACCATTTGCCACCCCTTGCATTGTGACTCAGTCAAGATTGCTGATTAAGCAATGATCGTTCGGATTCATTGAGAGTTTACCATTAACGTGTTGCAAAATACATGAAAAATTATTTTGGTTTCACACACGCGTCCTCTTTTCCGCTCCACGAAGGTCAATTATTTTATTGGTCAATTATGACAGCTGTTGACAGCATCAAAATGTCGGTGCATGCACTCAGGCATGACAGGCCAAGTGGGCAGTTTTCAAAATCCCGGGGTTTGTCTGCAAGCGTTTCCTTCCTTGCTTCCCCACCCCCTCTCCGCTCTTTTACTTGTGCCATTTTTCGCCCGGTCTTTGACTCTCGTTCCTGGTTCTTTGCTCCTAAACCGCACAGAAATACTTGCTACGCAGGCTAGGTATATTTAAGAGGTTGGAGCTAGGGGTGGAGCCTCCCCGTATGCAAATTTGTTGAGTAACCCCTCCCGTCCCCGGGATGGAGATGTTAATGTCAGGGTATGCCATTGGTGGTGGAATAGCAAAATTTGCAAAATAAACCGTCCAATGTAAAGGAAAAAACCTAAAGCTTGTGTAAAATAGCAACGTTAAGAAAAGCACAGTATACTTAATAGCCAAAATTGTTTATATTGAAGTAAGGAGTCAAGTACTGCTTTTAGTACTTGAACACCTAGCTGTGGTGCAACGACCAATATCTTGGAAGTGTGAAACAATCAATAGAACTGATCAGCCCTTGGGTGAAAATTTGATTCATCAAACTTAAAATTAGATAGACATTTATTTTTAGTTTAGCATCAATCTTACGCTTGTTTCAGCTCATAATGGCTGTTCGAAGACAAATGAAAGTTGGTTGATTTTTTGGCATAGTAGCCTGCATACCACCTCATTCCCAGGGTTCTCTTCTACCCATCCCTGCGGAGGAGAGAGAAAGACCCTGGTTGGGTCTGGTCACGTGTCTCCAGAACAAAATTATAAAAGTTGTAACGGTGTATAAACAAGAAACAGCGCGACGATTTTTTTCCTTTTTCCTTACCTTTTTAAAATATGTTCAGCGAGCCGCAGTAGCAGATCCAGGGGAGGGGCCCGGGAGGTCCCCCCTTATTTTTAGACCAAACTAATAATTCAATAATTATATAGTAATTCAACTTGAAAAAAAAAAGCACGTTTTAAAACACAAACCGAACCTAACCTGCATAAAAAGAAAAGGAGAAAACCTTTAAAAAAATAAAAATAAAATAAATTTTGTTACCCTGTTTCTTGTTACGCGGTTTAACCCTTTACGTCATTATGGTCTATACAGGTTTTCCTTCAAGCAAAAACAAGTAGATGCCGTTTGTCATTTTAGTGAAAATTAAATGCTTTGTGTGGAAAAAACGGCCCCATGTGAAAAAACGTGAATTGATTGCCCGCCCTATTGCTGGTTTTCAGTGTCACGCCACTCACAACAGATCAAAATAGAAATCAAAACTGTTCAATAGATGAAGTCCAGAATCTGGGAAATGAAAGGAGTTCAATATGCAAAGACCCTTGCCTAGTGCAATTTTTCATATGTGACCGTGCATGGGAAAATGTACCTTAACGCTTATCCGTTAGACAAGCAAAAGTGTTAAGCATCCGTTAGTCATCCCTTATAAAGTTTTCTTAAGAACATTAGAGGCGTTAGCCCAGCCGTTAGAACGGACAGTGTAACCGTTAGCAAGAGACATGTATCCGTTAGCTGTTAGCATCAGACCGTTACACGGGTCAGCATAACCACTAGCAAAAACTCTGCATCCGTTAGCACGGCTAGAGAAGCCGTTAGGATCCGTTAGAATAAACTAGCATCCTTTAAACGGGTAACGATTCCGTTAAAATGACATGACACGCGTTAAAGTAGAATGTGGTAGCCTAACACAGTGAAACGAGAGCAGCTTTTTGCTTCCATTTATTTCAAAACAATCATGAGAGATAGCTATCTTTCGATGGCAAGTTTGGCGATTATTATTTTTTGATGCCCTGATGATTGATAAATACAACTCGAATGATTTCAATACAGCCTTCATACTATAATTATTATACACGATCCAAAACAAACCACGTTTGCCGACAAGTAAAATCATAACAACAATCGACATTACATGAACTGTTTATTTATTCAGCAAAGTTCGGTTGTTTCGAGAGCTTGTATTTTGTACTGTAATTTCTGGCGAAAGGAAAGGTAAAAATATCTTATAAATGCCATAAACAGATAAAACAAACACAGGGAAAGCTCGACCAAAATGGCCATTGCGATGAATAAAAGGTCTGCGAATTCAAAAATTTCCATAAAGTTGTTTACATTTTCCAAGATCTGAAAAACGGCCATATTCCGGCGGAAAGGTTGATGAATATTTTGATAGACTTTTGTCTAACTCTGAATCAGACGAAACTAATTTTAAACTACGTGCATGTGACGAAAACAACTTTATCTGGTGAAACCAGCGCCAACACGTCGTTGCTTCGAGACTGACTTCGTGACTTCAAAAGGCAGCGCTTTTCGCATGCTCGGTCAAGATAGAAAGCGTAATCTTTCGCGAATCCACGGCTGGCCCGGGTAAAACAGTTACTTTAGAAAAACTCTTGACAGAGTCATGGTGTAAAAATAAGTGCAAGCGACAAATCCACTTGAGTAAAACAATAAAAAATGTTCACCACGACTGGCGATTAAAATTGTTTACACACAGGTTTAGCGACGGTAGGTTTGTTTCTCACACAATAATAAAGGACTCGAATTCTGAGTTTCTCCGTCTCAATGAGAAAGTGAAAGTTTATATCCCTGAGTTTTGCTGTCGATTAATGCTCACTGTGGAAATAATTTTTGTAGTGCTTGTCTCATCGACAACTGATGAAATCGGCACTTTGTGACTCGTTTTTTTTTTAAATCGCGAGTGTAAGACTAGTAATGGTTTTGCACGATCGTGTGTTCATAACATCGGACTGAAAGTAACTGTTACGTTATTGATTTGTTAAAAGTCCTTACATGTAAACCGTTAGACAAACGTTAAAAGTCCCTGGATGTAGAGCATTAGACAACCATTAAACGGCCAGTCATCCGTTAGAACAAACTGCGTAACCGTTAGAACGTTTTCTTCATCCGTTAGACATAGCCGTTAGACGGTTAGGAGAAAGCGTTAGAACATTTTGATCATCCGTTAGGCACAACTAGATAACCGTTAGAATGTTAGGACAAAACGTTGGAATGCTGTGAAGGCCGTTGACAATCCGTTAGCTATCCGTCCATTAGAGAGCATTTAACGGATAAGCGTTAAGGTACGTTTTCCCGTGCACGGTCACAAATGCGAGATGTCCGGAGAAATGTTTTACCGAAATTTATAGAGATTTGTATGGATACGCCGGAAATCAATTAGAAACATATGTTACTGAGTTTTGCAACGAAAGCGATAATTTATCCTCGAGGAACTCGTAAACATCAAGTCAATACTTTTTGTAATTTATGAACTGATCAGATAGCGATTTTCCCCGAAATAAGTTACCTTTTCAACCTAAATGACAGCTTTCTCGGCCATCATGTAAATGCCGCGTCACGCAAAAGCTTAGAAATTTCAAGAGTATGGTATTCTATCACAAAACCAAGAAGGCTTTCGAGGCGTTAGTTTCAATTTTTTGGTGATGTCATGTGAAAACCAACAATGAACTAACGTATATCCGGAATTACTGATTGTTTTATGTGACACGCACAGTGCAATACCCTGTTGGTGTATGAGTACAGGGTGTTTTAAAAAAACAAATTCCGATTTTTTCTTCCCTTAAATTTTACTGATTACAAAAAATACTTTTTGGAAAACTAAGGATGTAACCA